GGGGGAGGGGGGGTCCTACCGTTCAGGCATAGTTATTCACCATGAACGTGTTTTTCGACGCGAACTACGTCTCGGAGGATTCGACGAAGATTCGCTACGCCGTGTCGCTGCTACGAGGACCCGCCATGGATTGGTGGCGCGTCATCGTCACGAAGCCGATGGACTACGCGACTCTACCGACACGGGAAAGACAAACCGGACCCTGGGCGCCGTCGTATTTCGTGGAGGTGCCCCAATATCGCACGTGGGACACGTGGAGCGCAAGTCTGCATGCACGATTCGAGCCAATTGCGGCTTCGATCGCGGCGCGTCAGAGGCTCCGCACTTGGCGCCAGCTCGGTTCCGTCCAGGACTACACCAGCGAGTTCCTGGAGCTGTGTGAGCAGGTGGGCTATATGCATCAGGGCGAGCACATCGACCAATACATCAGCGGCCTAAAACACGAAATCGCCCAAGAAATCCAGCTCCACAACGTCACTGAATTCCAGGATTCCTCGCTATGGCGGAGACGCTCGGTTTCTTACGCCGACCGAGACCGGGGTCCTACGGCAATAATAGCAGCTGGGGACATCGATCTCATGGGACGAACGAGCACGCCACGATACGTGCCGTCGCCACAAATGCAGCTGCCGCACCCTTCAAAGGGCGCTGCTTCGCGTGCAACAGGCCAGGACACTGCAAAAGCGAATGCCCGAAAAATGCTAAGGGAAAGGGGGAAGCCGAGCAGCAGAAACAGACCAAGCAGCAGGGAAACACTGGGAGTCAGTAGCAGACGGGCCCTCTACTGATAGGTCACGCCACTCGCCCGACCCAACCGACCCTCACCGAGTTATTGTGCCGGTTCACGCAATCGACCACACCCGGCCGAATAAGGAGGGTACCGTGGTAGATAGCCCTATACTGCTTAGTGGGAAAATTGGGACAGACTTAGTTAAAATCTTCGTAGACAGGGGAGCCAGCCACAGCCTCGTCAACACTGCCACAACACGAAGACTAAAACTACCATTGGACAGGTGTTTACCTGAGATTGACACAAGACTGGTCGACGGCACGCCACTGGCGATACGGGAACGTGTGGACCGGGTTCGGATTCGATGCGGGGGTAATTTCACGTTTAGCCAGGAAATGCTCGCAACGACCCTCGACGGAACCGACATTTTACTCGGCCGTGATTGGCTGCGACGACACAACCCGCGAATCGACCGGACAACGAGTGAACGGTAACAACATCGCCTTACCTCGCTAGGGCTCGCCCGAGTCTTCGTCGGTGTGTGTCAACGCGATCACGATGAAACGCGCCGTAGCATCAGGAGCTGACGTGTATGCGGTTGAAATTTGGGAAGCCGAGGCAACAGACAAGGGAAGTGACGTACATAAACTTCTCGCCAACGTACCGGATGACATGGCAGGGTTACTGAAGCAGTACAATGGGATTTTCGCGGACGACTTGCCAACAGGACTGCCACCTCAGCGACCGCACGACCACATGATAGAACTAGAACCGGGGGCACAGCCGGCAGTACAACGACAGTTCCGACCGACCCAACCCAAACTCGACGTACTGCGGAAGCAGCTGGATTACCTGCTCGAGAAAGAATTCATTCGCCCGAGTTCGTCACCCTTCGCAGCACCAAAACTGTTCACACCAAAAAAAGGTCGCGCATGTGCATAGACTACCGCGCACTGAACCGAGTTACCATCAAGTCCCGTTACCCCATCCCGCGAGCAGACGAACTGATCGACCAACTGCGCACAACCAGTGTGAGGATCTGGTTCAGGAAAGATAAATCTATTGAATCATTCACCAAGGTACAAAGCGAGGCTATATATAGGCTCGACACAAAGGTAGTAACCCGGGTGTTACTAGAAGGTTCCGCGGGTCGCGAAGCGTCCCGAACGGGTCCTTCCCGAATTCGGTAGAAGGCAATTCGATGGCAACCGAAAAGCCTAGAATTCGGTGCACTCAACCTAGTTCGGTGCCTACAACTGTAATAACTATAGTAAAGGCAACGAACCTAGGAAATCAAGCAAAAGCATGCAAGATAAAATAAAGCTAAGCTAGTAATAACAAAATAAAGTCCAGGCAAGCTAGCAAAGCCAGCATAAGCCGTCGTACTCTCACACGTCCCCCCCTCAAAGCTGGGTGGCGTAAGAAACACCCTACTTGACAAGATAGTCCTTGAGAGCACGGCGTGCGTTGCCCATATCAGCTTCTGCAACCCAACTGTCCTCCAATGGGTCATATCCCTTCCAGCGTATCAGGAACTCGAGCGTGTTGCCGCGTCTGCGTTGATGAGCGATAACTTTTTCCACCTCGTACTCTGGTTCATCCTGTATGAGAACAGGTCGTGGTGGCGGTAGTTGGCGTCCCTCGAGCTGTTGGTTGGGGTCCTTGTAGGGCTTTAGTATCTGAACATGGAAAGCGTTGTGAAGCTTCCACGTAGTAGGTAAGCGCAAGCGAAATGTTACTGGTGTCACCTGTGCCTCAACGCGAAAAGGACCACAGAAGCGAGGCCGGAGCTTGGATGGTAGGTGAGACAGGTTTAAGTTGCGCGTGTCGAGAAGCACCTGATCTGCGACTGCTACTGTGTGGTCACGTCGTTGGTGATTGGCATACTGCTTCTGGGAGTTCTGCATCGTGGTGAGACGTCGCTGAGTCTTCTCTCATAGCTGCTGCATGGTGGTGACGAAGTCGTGTGCGGCTTGGATGTGTGGCGGTGTGGTTGGCTGTTGTGGTGTAAGTGGTTCCCGTCCGTAGCACAGGAAGAAAGCAGATTTCCCTGTGGCCGCATGCGAAGCATTGTTGTAAGCGAACTCAAGCGTTGATAACTGTAGATCCCAGTGGCTGATGTCGTCTTTGCAAGCTGTGCGCAGTAACTGTTCAACCACCTGATTGAGTCGCTCTGTCTGTCCGTTAGTCTGGGGGTGGTATGCTGAAGACATCGCAAGCTTAGTCCCCAACAAACCCATGAGTTCCCTCCAGAACTTACTAGTGAACTTGGGGTCTCTGTCTGGATTTTGTAGGATGAGTACTGGCGATGTAGTCAGTGCTGTCTGTAGCTTCTCCATGGCTTGCTGTTGAGGAGTATCCCATTTATAGGGCGTATCCTTTTTCAGTAGGTTGGTCAGTGGCGCTGCTATCTTAGCATACTGCGGCACGAACCTGCTGTAGTAGTTGGCGAAGCCTAGGAATTGCTGCAACTCCTTCACGTTCTCCGGAGCTTTCCACTCCTTGACAGCTTCGATCATCCGTGGGTCCACGTGTACGCCCTCGGCACTCACCATGTGCCCGAGAAACTTTACCCTCTTTAGGGCGAAATCGCTCTTTGACAGCTTCACGTATAACTTGTTCTCCCACAGGATCTCGAAGACTTTCCGCAGATGCTCCACGTACGCCTTCATGGTCTTGGAGTAGATCAGTATGTCGTCCAGGTACACCACTAAAAGTTCGTCTAGCAGAGGCCGTAAGATGTGATTCATCTCTGCCTGGATCGTCGCCGGTGCGTTGCAGACTCCGAACGGCATCACTAAGTACTCGTAGGAGCCGCATCTGGTACGGAACGCCATCTTGTGGATCGAGTTGTTTGCCATCTTGATCTGCCAGTAACCCGACTGTAGGTCCAGCTTCGAAAAGACTGTTGCACCACGCAGTTGGTCCAGTCGGTCGTCTATGCGCGGTATGGGGTATTTGTTTTTTACTGTCTGTTTGTTCAGTGCGCGGTAGTCGATGCACATCCGTAAACTGCCGTCTGGTTTTGGAGTGAAGAGAACTGGTGCACCGTAGGGAGAGGTAGATGAGCGAATCAGTTGTCTGTCCAGTAGATACTCTATCTGTATTTTCATGTCTGTCAGTTCGGTCGGACTCAGTCGGTATGGTGCACGTGAGACGGGTTTCGCACCTAATTCCTCCACGATCTCGTGCTCGTGGGTGCGTGCTGGAGGTACGCTTGCAGGTAGGTCGTCGGGCATTATATCCTTGTACTGCTCCAAGACCTCCTTCACTGCCGAAGGTAGCTCTGTGTTCGGCTTCTCCTCCTCTGCTGCAGCCATAACCAGTGCTAAGTAACCCGTGTTACTCTCGTTCACTATCCGTTCGAACCGTTCCAGTGATGTTTCGGGAACATCTCCTGTATCCGTCCAGCTTCGCAGCTCCACTCGTTTCCCGTTGTTGTAGATGTACGCCTTCCGGTTGACCCATCCGATCTCGGGGTTGAACCTCTTCAGAAAATCACGCCCTAATATGAAATCCAATCCCTTGATGTTCGTGATCGGCAACGTCAGCTTCCACCTTAATGCTCCTATCTGCAGCTGCAATGTTGTTACGCCGTGGATGGGAAGCTTCGTACCGTCCACCATCGTTGCTGTAAATTGGGTCTCCTCCGATGACTCTCCAATTTTCTCCAACGTCCCGCAGTCGCACACCTAGTGGGACGTGTGAGAGAAATACGAGGAATGAAATGACTAGAAATTAGTTGGGTACAAATAGGGAAACCTAGAAATGTTGTACCCCCTATTGTCTAACCCACTACAGCCTAAACAGGCTATAACATAAGTTTGGCACACCCCCATAGGCAAAGTGGGGGAGAACAAGAGGTCAAAAGACCAGTCAAGAAAAGCAAAGCAAGCTCAGGGTGGATCTCAAGGATACCACACAAATTCCGAGCACAAGCAAGCGGTCACAAGACCAGTTCACATGCAGTTTGATAATATAACAAGAGGTACAGTGATCACAACCTAGCAAGTGTAAGCATGCAGGTATATGAATAGAGATCACAGTACAAGCAGAGTCAAGAAGTAAGCAAGTGAGGCACAGTAGGCACAAGGCCTAGAACAGTACAGAAACGCTGATGATCACAAGGCTGAAGAGCCTTGGTGAACACATCAGCAGTGTTGGCCCGAGTGGCCACGTAAGCAAGACGAAGCTGACCACGCTGCTGCAACTCTCGAGCAAGGAAGCAACGCAGAGCGATGTGCTTCGTTCTGTGCTCCAGTCTGTGCTCCTAACACAAGGCAATCATGGCCTTGTTGTCGACGTACAGCACTGGAGGAGAACGAGGCGGCTCTCCAAGGTCAGTCAGCAGGTAGGTGAGCCAACGTAACTCCTGTGCAGCCATGGCCCCAGCGTAGATCTCAGCCTCACAACTGGAGCTGAGAACAGAAGACGACCGGGTAGACCGCCAAGAAACAGAGCCGGGGCCAAGGCTGAAGGTGTGACCCTGCGACGACCGCTGCGTAGACAAGTCGTCTGCCCAAGAAGCGTCAGCGTGACCAGTGAGGACAACTGGACCTCGCCCTCCAAGCACGAGCCCCATGCCTGACGTACTGCACAAGTAGCGCAACACCCTCTTAGCAGCATCCATGTGCTCCTTCCTGTGACGGCCAGGAGCGTCATAGCTTGCTAGGATGCTAAGAGGGTAGGCTAGGTCAGGTCGAGTGCAGGTCATCAGGTACATGAGGCATCCCACAAGCTCTGGATACGGGCCACTCGGCTCTACGGACTCGTCCGAAGGTGGAGCTGAGAGTGAGTGACCGGTAGGCAGAGGAGTGGACTGTGGCGAGGAGTACGTGAAGCGGAAGCGCTGAAGGACCTGCTGCACCATGTGTAACTGAGTCAAGGTAATGGTGCGCTGTGCTCTGTCCCGGGTGATCCGCAAGCCAAGATAGCTTGTCAGCTCACCCAGGTCTGTGCACGTGTGCCTATTCTGCAGCTCCGACTTCACGTGGGCGAGTGCCTCAGTGTCAGCAGTAGCAAAGACCAGGTCGTCTACATACACGAGAACGTAGAACGGCGGCAGAGTGGTGTCGGTGCGTAGAAACAGCGACGGGTCAGCAGTAGAAGGAGCAAACCCAAGAGCAGCAAGAGTCATCCTCAGTGTGTCGTGCCACTCACGGGGTGCCTGGCGGAGACCGTAGACTGGCCGCCGGAGGCTCCACTGGGTACCAGGAGGAAACGACCCAGTGAAGCCAGGTGGGCGACCCAGCCAGATCTCCTCGTGCAGGCTGCCCTGTAGGAAAGCAGTGCTGAAGTCAAGAGAGTGGAGCTCGTAGTCGCGCTGAGCGGCGACGTGCAGCAGAACCCGGAGAGTGGTCTTTTTCGGGGTAGGGGAGAAGGTATGGAAGAAGTCAACTCCCTCACAGTGACTAAAGCTTCGTGCAACGTAACGCGCCTTGAAGACAGGCGGAGAACCCAGCGGCCGCTTCACCCTGGAAATCCACATGCCACTGACGATGTTCGCCCCAGGTGGGGGAACCTCGTCGACGTAGGTGCCTGTGGACTTCCACGAAGCCATCTCTGCGTCCATGGCTGACTGCCAATGAGAGGAGTAGGGACCCTCTATCGCCTCTGCGTAAGAGCGCGGGGTCGGGATGTCTGGTGCATCCGGGTCTCCCTCAGGGGCAATCAGCATGGACACAAGATGAGATAAAGCAACGGCAAAGCACTCAAACTCCTCCTGTCTGTCCTCAAGGACATCTGTGCCAAGAGCACACTCACCCCCGACGGACGGAGGACAGACAGACTCAGACTCAGCAACAAGGCTAGCGGCGTAGTCGAGACGACAGGCGGCAGCAAAGACAACAAGCTCAGCAACTAGAGCAGACGCAGTAGTGGACTCAAAGGAAGGGTCAGTGACAGCACGTGTTACAGTAGGACTGGCAGCACGAAGGGAGTCAGACTCCGGGTCCGGACCGTCAGGAAGAGAGGACGCAGGAGGAGACGGCAGAGGGACACGCCGTGGAGCAGTGGAAGGACGCAGCGTCATATAGTGAGTGCCAGGGACAGGAGGAGGACGCTCACGCGGAACACGGCGACCAGTGCGGACAGCGCGGACAGGCGACTCTGGACGAGACTCAGGCGACGCAGGACGAGACTCAGGCTCACGACGCTCCGTAAGACCTCTAGTCGGTCCAGCGTAAGGAGAAGGACCAGGCAGCGGAGAGGCTGGCTGTAACTGTGACTGCGACTGGACAGGCGGTGGACAGAGTAGGGGAGGAGTAGGACCAGTAGAAGGCGGGAGGCCAAGAACCTGCTGAAGGAGTGGAACGTAGTACGGCCGCGGCCGCGCAGCACCTCCTGAACCAGCAGAGACAGCACCAGCACCCTCAGCTCCAGGGTCTCCAGCTACAACTCCCGCAGCACCACCAGCAGCTCCAGCACCTCCAGCTCCAACTCCCGCAGCAGCTCCAGTCCCAGTAGCTCCAGTACCTCCAGTACGAGCACCTCCAGGACCAGCGGCTCCAGCACCAGCAGCACCTCCAGCAGCTCCAGCACCAGCAGCACCTCCAGCAGCACCAGCACCAGCAGCACCTCCAACACCAGCAGCACCTCCAGCAGCTCCAGCACCAGCAGCACCTCCAGCAGCACCAGCACCAACAGCACCTCCAGTATCAGCAGCACCTCCAGCACCTCCAGCACCAGCAGCACCTCCAGCAGTAGGCCCCCCAGCTCCAGCAACACGGCTACAGCGCCGAGCGTACCACTCACAAAGCTGCCGTGGAGAGAGGGGCTCCCGCCGCAACGGGACACTCGGAGGACCTCCAGTCTCAGTACCCCCAGACTCAGCAACCCCAGGCTCAGCACCCCCAGGCTCAGCACCCCCAGGCTCAGCACCCCCAGACTCCGCACCCCCAGGCTCCGCACGCTCAGGCTCAGCAACCCCAGACCCAGCATCCGCAGGCTCAGAGTCAACAGAGTCAACAGCTACCTCGACAGGCTCGACTGCGTCTACCTGGGACACACCTGAGGGGGCAGGACCCTGAGGGGGGAGGGGGTCTAACTGGGGAGGACCTGGCGCGAGGAAGAGCGGCGGGGGGGGGAGGGGGGCAGTGCGGTAGGGGAAGAGACGGTAGTAAGGAACCGACTCGTCAAACGTGACGTCCTAAGAGGACAGAACACGGCTCGAGGTGGGGTGGTAAAACTGCCAGCCAGGCGCGTCAGGGGGGAAGCCAAGGAAGACGCAGGGAACGGCACGGGAGGACAGCTTGTTCGCAGACAAGTCGCGGACGAAAGCTCGAGATCCCCAGACACGGAACGCAGACGCATCGCCAACCTTCCCTGTCCACCGCAGAGTGGGAGTGGTCTCCGGCATGGAGACCCGGGGCTGGAGGTTGATCTGATGCGCCGCGTACTGAACCGCGAACGGCCACAGAAAATGGGGAGCAGCCGCATGGATCATGGACGTACGAGCGACATCCATGACCATGCCAATGCGGCGCTCAGCAATCCCATTTTGCTGTGGAGAGGCCGGAAGCGTGAACGTCTGGCGGATGCCCTCCGCCCGACAGTAGGCCTGCAGAAGGTCGGAGGAAAACTCTCCACCTCTGTCTGAGTGCAGACGCAGAACAGGAAAGTCCGAGCCGAAACTCTCTCTGAGCTGGAGACGAGCAGCGCGGATCCATTTGATCAACACCTCAGTGACCTCTCCCTTCCGGCGCAAGGGGAAGACTGTGGTGTAATGCGAGTAGTCGTCAACAACCAGTAGGAAGTAGCGCTCGTGACCCTGTCCACGGACGCGGGCTGGGCCCCACACGTCCATGTGAAGAGTCTGCAGGGGAGCCTCTGTCGGAGGAAACTCGGAGGAGTGAGGAGCGGCGCGCTGCCGGCCCTCGACGCAGGGAACGCAGGTAGGGGCAGGCCCCGGAGGAAGGGGAGGAAGGGAAGGGGGGAGACCAGAGACAAGGACACGGGAGGCCATGCCTCTGAGACGAGGCAGGGAGGGGTGACCAAGGCGGTGGTGCCAGAGGAGGGTCTCGTGAGACAGGAGGCGACACGAGCAGGGGGCAGACTCAGGGCCAGACCGGGACGCTGCAGCAAACACCTGACCCGACGCGGCTACCTGAATAGGCGCAGTGACAGGAGGAGACTCAGTGGTAAGGGTGTACAGGCTGGACCCTGGCCGACGGGTGAACGTGGCCAGGTGACGACCCGTCCGAGCACACGTGCAGTGCGTCACACGTTGATAGGCAGGGGTGAACTGGTGAACACCCCCATCCTGAAAATCAGCACCCGCCACCAAGTTCGTAGAGAACGAGGGGAGGTGAAGACCAGACAGCGAGCCGGACGGAGCCACAGGACACGGGAGAACAGTGGAGGAACGGGCCACAACTGGTCCCCCAGAGGGGTCAGCCAGAGAGACTGCCACAGGCCGACTGAGTGGCGTGAGTGTAGTGCAGTCGCAAAAGAAGGAGCGGGAAGCACCCGAGTCAAGGGTGAAAGTGTGTAAGACTTGAGACGATGCGGTACCTGAGAGAGCAGTCTCACCAGCACCTGGAGCAGTAGACTCACTAGCACCTAGAGCAGCAGCCTCAATGCCCGGGTCGGGCGGAACACACAGGTAACAGTCACCCTCAGCACTAATAGACACAGCATAAATAGCAGCAAGGATAGCATCATAGTCAAGATCAAAGATAGCAACCCCCGACTTAAGCAGAATATCCCTGCGAGGGATCTCAGCAGAGCCAGGGAACTCTGTACGCCAGGCGTCAGTCAGGCGGCCGAAGCAGCGAGGTGTGGTGTGTGGGCCGCCGCACGTCTCTCCACTGCGGTCGCCGATGCGAAGAACGTAAGTGCAGGGACCAGCACCCCCAGACCTCCCACGCCCAGCGTAACACTCACGGAGCAGCTGAGGCGACGGGGTCTCACGGGAGCACTGCTGCTGCTGGCGCTGGTCACCGCTAGCACCTCCCCGCTGCCCACGACCGCCCCCGCCACCCCCACCTCCGCCTCCGCCGCCGCCACCTCCACCCCCACTCCCGCTGCCTCCGCCGCCTCCACCTCCACCGCCGCCACCGAAGCCCCCACCCGAGCCACCACTCCCACCTCCACCTCCACCCCCACCCCCTCCGCCTCCTCCACCGCCACCACCGCCGCCCCCACCGCCCCCTCCACCCCCCTTGCCCCCCTTGCCCTTGCTGTTGCGGCGCCTCCCACTAGGAGCAGACGCAGCGCCGACCGACTCGGTGCCAACGAGGTCGACAGCAGCAGCAGAGGCAACAGAGGGCAAGAGGGGAGAGGGGGAGCACCCCTCAAAGAAAGGGCCGCGAGGGTCACCACAGGAGGCCCCTACAACGACTATACTCTTCTCAGCTGCAAGGAGGCGCTCCTCGAGGAGGTCAACGGTGAGCGTGGTGGGGCAGAGGGAGAGGAAGTGGTCCCTGACCGAGCAAAGGGAGTCAGGGAGCCGGGTGACGAGGTAGTGTCAGAATGTTATAATTGTCTAGCCTGCAGTGGGGTACTCTATAGTGAGTACAGCCCAATTAGGGTTTGCTATATGTATCCAACTACTTGCTAGTGAACCTCCTCCTTTCTTCATTCTTACTTTCTACTGCTAATTCTGACATGCTATCAGAGCAGGTCGATCCCCTTGGGTCGATCCTGTGGGTGGGCCCACCACCTCACTGCTTCCGCTGCTACTGCTACTCTGTGTGTTGCACGCCCCGTGGCGTGCGACGGATTTTTCATCCTGCCGCGCGCTCGGAGCGTGCGGCGGTTTTCTGCCCGCCGTGCGCCCCGAGGCGCGCGGCGGTTTTCTGCCCGCCGTGCGCCCCGAGGCGCGCGGCGGCTTTCTGCCCCGTCACTCTGCGCGTCGCTCCCGGGAGGCGCTGCGACGGGCGACGGGGACCCGCGCGTCGCCCCCCGTCGCCCGTCGCGGCCTGCGCGACCTGCGTAGGGCCCGCGCGCGGCCCGTACAGCCTGCGCGCGGCCCGTACGGGCTGCGCCAGGCCTGCGCGCGGCCCGTACGGGCTGCGCCAGGCCCGCGCGCGGCCCGTACGGGCAGCGCCAGGCCCGCGCGCGGCCCGTACGGACTGCGCCAGGCCAGGGCGCGCCTCGGGCCGCCCGCACGCGGTTCGTACGGGCTGCGCCAGGCCCGTGGGCGCCCTGTTTTCTCTGCCCCTGCGCTGCCCGCTGTCCCCCGTGCTTCTGACGGCGCCCCACCCCTGCTGCTGCCCGTTCTCCTGAATTAGGGTTTGGGGGTGGGGGGTATGGGGGTGCAGTTTCTGTGCGTCGTCCCCTGCTCCTCCTCCTCCTCCGTCTCCCAGTGCTGCAGCTGCCGCTGAGGGGGGTGGGTGTGTGGGAGCCGAAGGAGTGGTACTAGGGGGGTGACGTGCAAGTGGAGTTAGGAGTGAAGCAGTGGGTGTGTGGGGGGTGTGTGGGACAGTTGGAGGAGGTTGAGCGGAGGCTGCTGTCTTGTCGTCTGCAGCACCTGTAGTCCGGGGCGCACTGTCCTGGTAGCCCAGAGAGCCTGCTGCGCCTGTCGCCCGAGGGTCCGTTGCTCCTGTAGCTCCTCGTAGCCCGTGAGCCAGTTACTCCAGTAGTCCGGGGCGCACTGTCCCGGTAGCCACTGTGCCAGCAGCTCCTGTTGCCCGTGTGTCTGCAGCTTCAGCCACCGTCTCTCATCTTCTCTCCTCTCACAGTCCCTCCTCCTCCTCACTTGCCCGCTGTGACTACCACTAGCTTTGCTTATAATTGTGAACTATTACTATGCTTGCTTGTTGTGCTGATTACACCCCACTTTGGCTATGGGGGTGTGTCAGAATGTTATAGTTGTCTAGCCTGCAGTGGGGTACTCTATAGTGAGTACAGCCCAATTAGGGTTTGCTATATGTATCCAACTGCTTGCTAGTGAACCTCCTCCTTTCTTCATTCTTACTTTCTACTGCTAATTCTGACAGGTAGTAGAGAGTGATGTACATAGGGGGGTGGTTCTTGGCGCAGTACTCGGCAGGAAGCGCAATGCGGTAGCGGGTGTCACTAGTGCGGAGGTGCGTAATGAGGTCAGCGACTGTGGCAAAAGTGGCTAGGTCAGGGAACAGGTACGGCAGCATGAGGCGGCTAAGGGCAGCAGTGGCAGGGGAGGAGTAGCGCGCAACAACAGCGTCGTACAGAGTCCTAGCGGTCTTGTACTGACTAAAGTGCGCGCGCTCAGCAGACGGCAGCAGACAGCAAGGCGGGCAGAAGCATCGCGCGTGGTCCACTGTGAGCGAACAGCACTGTCAGCATCAGCAGCAGGTGCAGCAGAGGCGCCAGACGTGAGATAAAAAAGCGAGACCTGATCTTTGCTATCGCACTGCAGGAACAGCTGTAGATCATCGACCCAGACCTCAAAATCGACCGCTCGACCCTCAGCATCGAATTTGAGTACGTTGGGGGCAGCCATGACAGCAGGTGCAGTAGCAGTAAGAGCAGCAGGAGCAGCAGTAGTAGCGCGACTCGTAATTGGGCGGCAGGGCAGGGCCGCGGCTCGGCTGCAGGGCAGGGCTAGGGTAGTAGCGACGGCAGCGGCGGCGGCGGCTCGTCACACCGGCGGCGGCAGGGACAGCAGCTGCTGCAGGGCTCTCGGCGGCTGCTGCAGGTGGAGGCCGCGACCGGCGAGAGGGGCAGGGCGGGGCCGCAGCGGCGGGTCGACGAGCGGAGCCAAGGAGGGCCGCGCCGAATGCAGGGCAGGCCGCGATAGGCGACGGGGCGGGGCCGGGGCGAGGCTGCGACGGGGCCGGGAAGGGCCGCGAAGGGGCCTCGAAGAGCCGCGAAGGGGGCCGCGAAGGGCCGTGAGGGGGCCGCGAAGGGCCGCGAAGGGGCCGCGAAGGGCCGTGAGGGGGCCGCGAAGGGCCGCGAAGGGGCCGCGAAGGGCCGTGAGGGGGCCGCGAAGGGCCGCGAAGGGGCCGCGAAGGGCCTCAAGAGGGGCCGCGAAGGAGGCCGTAAGGGGCGCGACGGGCCGCTAAGGGCAGGGCACGCGACGGGAGGGCAGGCGCACGGGGCGCAACTAAGGCAGGCGCGAAGCGCGCTTCGGGCAGGTAAGGAAAAAAAAAAAATCGTAGTGGTGGGCCCTAAAAAAAAAGACGTTCCCACTAGGGAACCAGCTCTATACCATGTGAGAGAAATACGAAAAATGAAATGACTAGAAATGAGTTGGGTACAAATAGGGAAACCTAGAAATGTTGTACCCCCTATTGTCTAACCCACTACAGCCTAAACAGGCTATAACATAAGTTTGACAGGACGCACCACTGTCCACCAGGGCCTGGAGGCGACGCCCGTTGCAGATCACCTTGAGGAGTAGTGGCTGCTGATGCTCCGAGTAGCTGTAGATGGTATCGCTCATAGGATCATAGGGTAGATCAAATAGATCATCCCTTGGTCTTGCGCTCGAAGCTACTGTCTCAATATCAGGTATCACCTGAGTAGGGTTAGAAGGATTTATCCGAGGCTGGTACAGCTTCTCCTGAGCCTGGAACCTTCCCCTAAACCTTTGCAGCTGTGTAGGCTTCATCTGTGGGGAACAGGGAGTCTTTAAACAGAGCTGCTGGGAGAGAATATGAACTCCTCGGAACGCTCGACCCTTATTTGCGCTCCGGAGTAGGGTCCCCATATTGCCCGGTACCGGTTTAATTTCTGACTCTCCCTTAATAAAGGCTTGAAACTCACGAGAAGTAATATTCTTACTTGTCGGGGTGTACGGCTGGAGTTTCCCACTCGGTGCAGGGTCTTGCTTCGCGGATCCTCCTTTAGTCTCGGCGATTTCCCCTGGTGCAGGTTGGTCGTGACATTTTTAATTCGCGCCATCAGCTCCGAAGTAATATCCTTTCTTCGCCCTCTTCGAAGTTGCCACGTTGTCCATTTTCTGCTTCGGGGGTGCCGCACTGTTCTTGCCCTTCAGCTCCGCACACACTTTCTTCATTTTCCAACACGCCAAGATACGATGTCCTGTAGCGCCGCAAAATCTGCACGTCTCATTTTTGCTAGCCGCTGCTCCACATCGCCCTTGTCGTTCTCTATCCGGTCGGCAGTCGTGGGTGGTGCCAATCGCCCCATGCCACTATTTGGCTTGTTGCGTCGTGTTCCGTAGTAGCTACTATTCAACGCGTCGAACTGTTCGATCAGTGCTACACGAAACTATACTGTTGTTGATCCACTCTAGAGCTGGGCCTCGTAACAGTGTTGCTGCGAGCGTATGCGCATTGCGTCTTAGTTGAGGGTCGTGCATCCAACGGCTTCGAAAAAATTTTCTAGTACAGCTACAAATCGACGGACGTCGCTCCCTTTCGTGCTAGGATCGAACGCCTCTGGTTGCCTCGGCTTCACTGCTTCGAGACTAACTGTAGCTACTGCCGTTGTCGCATATAAAATTGTCGGTGTCGTCGCCGTCGCTGCTGCTGCTGCTACAGCTACCGGTTGGTTCGCAAGGAGTTTTTCGAGTCGTGGGAGCGCTGCATGTATCCGCTTATGCTCAGCACGTAACTCCGCGATTTTCTGTACTGAAATATCTCCCCATTTGGCGATTTAGAGGAAGATGCGCGACAAAAATAATCGAATTCTAGGTGCTGATCGACAAACTGCGAGTCGAGTTGACTGTAGAATCGACGAGCGCTGATTCTGTAGGTCGCGTAAATCTCCCTTAATTGAAATTCGCGTTCGATCTCGATCGTTGAGAAAAAAACTCGATCGGACGCTCCAAATTCCAACTTTTTAGGCGAAATTCTCTGGGCCGTTGAGATGAAACTCGATCGAACTGTCGAAACTCCAACCTTTTCACCAGTAAATCTGAGGGGTGTTCGAAAACCGAATCGAGGGGGACTTAGAAAATTGCGCGGAACTGGTTTTACATACCCGTATCGGCGCTATCGTCGTCACCCCCACGGTTTTAAAAGGCCGGAACTAAGCGGTTGAAGACCTCGCGTGTAAACTCGCTCTGATTACCAAGTGTAAGGATCTGGTTCAGGAAAGATAAATCTATTGAATGATTCACCTGGGTACAAGGCGAGGCTATATATAGGCTCGACACAAATGCAGTAACCCAGATGTTACTAGAAGGTTCCGCGGGTCGCGAAGCGTCCCGAACGGATCCTTTCCGAATTCGGTAGAAGGCAATTCGGTGGCAACCGAAAAGCCTAGAATTCGGTGCACTCAACCTAGTTCGGTGCCTACAACTATAATAACTATAGTAAAGGCAATGAACCTAGGAAATCAAGCACAAGCATGCAAGATAAAATAAATCTAAGCTAGTAATAACATAATAAAGTCCAGGCAAGCTAGCAAAGCCAGCATAAGCCGTCGTACTCTCACAACCCGAGTCTTTTCGAAAATTGACCTTCGAGGAGGTTACCACCATATCCGCGTCAACCCACCCGACTGCCCGAAAACAGCTTTCCGAACACGC